TGAAACCTTCATTCACCTTAGGCACAGATTTGATATCTTCAACCTCACTGTAACCATCTCCATTTTCATTGCTTGATCTGCTTGTAGAACTTTCATCTCCCCCACTTACTCTTGTCTCTGGCGTATCTCCATAAACCTTATAAACGTTCCCATCCTCATCAAACCTCAAACTTTTCATCACTCGGGTTTTCCCTCCATTGTCTTTTACAACAACTCCGCTTCTATTTCTAGTTCTCGAATTACTACCAACTCCATCATCACGAGACGCCCTCAAGATTTCTTCTCCATCATCAAAAGAATCATCCTCGGCACTCGAAGTTAGCTCATAGACATTTCTATCCTTTCCAAACTTCACTCTCTTAGTAACCAGTGTCTTCACTTTGTCACCTTGCCCCAATGCTCCAACTCTAGACTTTGAACTTCCAACAGAAAGTATTGGAATTTCTTGAGCATCATCACTAATGAAATGGAACTCTTCTAGCTCAGCAACGTTCTCCTCATCGCCACTGGACGCAACATAGATCTGTTTCCTCGATTTCTCCGTGACTCTACCTTCTCCTACATGACGTTTAGCCCTACTAAAGCTCACATCTTTCACAGATTTACAAACAACAATACGCCTTTTCACAGCACAATCATCTACGTAGTGTAAAAACCTCACCAAATCTCTACACAGTGTTCTTTTTCCATCTCGTATCATTGGATCAACCCTACCCTGAGAGCGACAACAAGTGATTAAAAACCAAAAGAAACAAGCTTTAGAAGAATTCACCAAAACACCATACCTGAATGGAATCGAGTTGCAGAAGCAAATCAGTAGCTTCTCGAGAAACAGCTTCGAAAGGGAAATGGGTTTTACCAGAAACCGAAGATTTAAGAGATGAGAAGCTTGATTTGATCAAAGCTAAGTCCTTTAGTTGCCTAAGTGATACAGATCTACGAACCAAGTAAGATCGGAAATGGGTTTGAATCACACGCGCCGCCGAATCCTTCAACGTCGAGTTTGATTCGCGACGACTGAGCAAAAACTCGAGGTCGTCGACTTTATGGAGGAGATTGTCGTATTCTCGTTGAACGTTCTTCTTCTTGGAGAATCTCGGAGAACGGGTTTCGCAGGAACATTGAGTTTCTCCTCCCTGTCGTTGTTGAGTTTGGAGATAAGAAGCAATGAGACGAAGAAGATGATCTAGATTCGGCGGTGGAGGACTTGAATCTACACAGCAATTACAAGGTGATGACGTGGAGTAGTTAACGGGAATGCTTTCAC